CCCCTTTGCATGTGGTGTGACCCCAGCCCATTGGTGAGCCTCACCAGTACAGTGTCACGGTGATACTGGCTTTGTGTGGTGTAAATGTGACCTTAAATAGTACTTCTTGCTGGTCTTGTCATCATGGTTGAGTACATGGTGGTTGATATCCCTGTGGTGGTTTAACTATTGAGCGGCCAGGTTATCGGCTTCCCTAGAATTACTGGTGGCACTTACTACTCCCCTCGTACAGTTCTCTGTGTTTGATATTCATCTTTTTGGCTGTTATATATGGTTAATGTAGCCGAAACCCATTGTAGATATGTCCTAAACCTTATTTTCTATAATGTGTACCTGGTAGGCCATGATGTGAAGTCATCCTCCATGAGATGTTTTACATTTCTTATGTTCACATGTGTAGGGGAATTTTTTGTCTAAGGATTGCATATCTAGAACATTTAATCAAAATTAGCTAGCAGAAAATACAGAGTGTACCAAGGAAATGTACACAAATTTTAAGAAAGAAAAAGTTGTATTAAATTATGATGCTGTTTTATTGTCTAAAATTATTAAGATTTGTTATGCATTCTGTCTTCTGAATAGCACTTAGGTACACTGATCTTCAAGGTTTAGTTATCCAAGGATTATATATATCTAGAATCTCAACAAGTTTGAATTCATGCAGAATAAAACATTCAGCATTTATGTGAGAAACATACTACTTGTGAAAGATGAAAGCAGAAAAGTACCGTGTATTCTAACGTATTAATAAGAAAAGAAGTTATCATTGGAGTGTTATACACTTCTTCAAAAACAAATCCCTGCATAACGAACATTTGTATACCCAACCCTGAATGGTAACCATCTTTAAAGTAAAAAAATTAAAAAATAGAATAAAACAAATAAAGTCAGGTGCACATTTTACAGCTTTCATTTATTTACTTATTTATTCATTTTAATTTTTTTACAAAATGTGGGGTACAATTCAGTGTTAGATATACAAATATTGATTATGTAGGGTCCCTGGTTGATGAGGTATCCCCGTCCCTCCCTTAGCAGCATCCCTCCAGTGCCAATCTCACCCCTCCCCCTTAAAAGTTTTCCACTATGACCAATCACTTTCTTTATAGCAGTATAATTGATCAAGTTCAGCTCATGAGGGAGAATATATGGAACTCTGTTCTTTGTTTCCGTGACAAATCACTGAGAATGACCTACCTCATATCCATCAAACGTTCTACAAATTCCTTACATCTCTCCTTTTTTAAGGCTGCATAATATTCCATTGTATGTATATACCACACTTATTTTATCCATTCCAGCTTTGATGGGAAATATGGTTGGTGCCATGTTTTTTGCTATTGTGATTAGCGCTGCAACCAACATACTTGTGCAGGTATCTTTTTGGTAAATGATTTGAGTTCCTCCAGGTTTATTCTCTACAGGGGAATTACTGAGTCACATGGTAGGTCAATTTCTTGTTCCTTTAGAAACCGCCACAC